AGGGACTTACCCTCATTCATTTCAGCTTCAATTATTTTTTCGTTTCTTGTCAAGAAATTCTGCTTTCTCTCCCTCTCTGTGTATAATCATCATCATCAGGGGGCTAAAGCCGACGGGGGCGCATAGCTGCATCCACCCTTTGTTTCCACCTTTTGGGGTCCCTCATGGCAAGCCGCCAGGCAGGGACTCGGTCCATCTCGAGCTCCTCAAGACAGGTTTGATCGATCTACCCAAGCCACGACCTCCTAGGTCGTCCCACAGGCCTCCTCCACCCAGGGTTGTCTCTTGTGGAGAAAACCTGGTGGGCAGGATCATCCTGTGGGAAACGAGCCAGGTGGCTGTATAGCCTTAGTTGGCGATCACAGATTGTGCAGGTAACAGGTTCTGTGCCAGTCTCATGGTGCAACCGTTGGTTGGACACATGGTCCCGCCAACAGTACCCCATGATCTGGCACAAGGACCTATTACAGAAGGCATCAAGACGAGACTCCAAGGCACAGGATAATGTCCAGGTTTCACTACTGTATAGCAAAATTGGCATTATCAGGGCCTTGAAAACCCGTAGCTTGGTCCTTCTGCATGGGTACAGGCATCAAATTCTCTTGTCGAGAGTTCATGACCCCTGCTACCAGGCCAATCTGTCTACTGATTTCTTGGTCTGACAGCCCAGAGTTATGAACTACACTACCAAGGTATGTAAAGCTCTCTGTGACTTCAATGCCCTTGCTGGAAGCATGTACCGACCGAACAGGTTCTCCTAACAAGTCCCCAAAGTCGTGGATCTTGGTCTTTGTCCAGGAGACCTCTAGAGCCGAAGATTTCGCTTCATTACTATATGCATCCAGAGCCACCACTAAGGTTTGCAAGGACTCAGATAGAATAGCAACATCATCGGCAGAGTCAAGGTCTGTAACCTTGATATTGCCCAGTGTTGCTCCACAATGACTTTGAACAGTAGCTCTGCCCAGTATCCAGTCCATGCAAGTATTGAAAAGTGTTGGTGCAAGGACACAGCCTTCCCTCACTCCTGACAGGCCCCCACTACACTTTACAGTACTTTCAGTAACAGTATACAAGCTTGCTATTAGTCCAATAATCCTTGTTGGAATTTCTCTCAGTCTCAGGATCTCCCAGAGTGATTCCCGATGCACCATATTGAACGTTTTCTTGAGGTCGATGTAGGCTGCAAGCAGCCCACACTCGAACTCATGATGGCGCTCTACAATGACTCGAAGCGCAAGGATACGGTCTATTGTGGACTTACCAGGAGTGAATCCAGATTTCTCCGGCCTCTGATGCCTCAGTAGGTGGTCTCTGATACGTCTCAGAAGGATGTAGGCAAGAACCTTGCCTGGTTTACTGAGTAGTGTGATGCCTCGGTGATTGCTGCAGTCCCATCGGTCCTTCTTCCCCTTCCAGAGAGGGATGACCACACCTTTCTATTGGTCAGGGGGAACGGTACCAGAACGCTTGATGACAGCCAGGACAGTATGCAACCCACGCGCCACAGATTCACCACCAGCTTTTAACAGTTCAGCTGGGATGCCACAAATACCCGCTGCTTTGCTACTCTTTAGCTTGGAAATCGCCCCCATAACTTCAGATAGGAAGGGAGGATCCTCACTGATGGGTGACGGAATCACGGCACTACCCGCATCCAAGTTAACTGTTGGTGGGTAAACCTGGTACATCTGCTCAAAATACTCAGCCCAACGTTCCTGCACCTGCAACAGGATCTGACAATCTTGCCACTTAATAAGCGAACAGCTGTCACCTGAAAATAGGGCTTGGATTTCAGCTTTCTCAGGGCTTGGTATGCAGGACGAAGGTCATTTACTAAGAAATGGTCTTCGACCTCCTCAGCAAGACTCCTAATAAACTGTTCCTTGTCCCTTCTTATCAGAGCCAGAGTTCTACATACTTGAGAACGGTGCAAATCCCGATCCCCTGTCAGACGAGCTGCACAGCAAGCACCTGTGGCTTCCACTGTCTCCTGCAAGATAAAATTCTGTATTGTCCTCGGGCGTTCACCAATCAACTCGGGCTGCATCAAGCGTTTCACGCTTGAAGGTGTCCCACAGAAGTAAAGGGTCTGTCAGATTGTTGTGCTGTGAAACGACCAGAGATTGCCTCAGGAATCCCCTGAGCACACTCCTTCAATCTATCAGGATGAAATCCCCTATGGTGGTCATTGGACCACTGGGGAGTTTTGAAGTGGACCTGGAGGATAGCCACAACCAATCTATGGTCAGTACCACAGAACTTGGCACTCCCATACACACCCTACAGTTCAGGAGGATCCTCCAGCGAGTGCTGACGTGCATGTGATCGATCTCCTTGGTTGCATTACCCACATTGCTGTACCATGTCCAATGAGTGGGTCTGGGTGCTGGTACCAAGAGCCAGACAACCTCAATCTCTGGGACTTTGCAAAGTCCCGGAAAAGGAGATTATACTCGCTGCCCATATCAGCTCCTGAACCATGAGGACTGATGTACAT